AGGGCATGAGATCATGCTTGCAGCCCCCTGCATTCTGAGCCAGTTAACAGGGCTGACATTTTTCCCATAAACTCAGACATACTGTAGTTGCAGAGAATTCCTACCTGAACCTGAGGAAGGTTTCACCTGAAACAGTTAAAGAGGACTCAGAGGAGTGTTGTGACTCAAGCAAAGGACAATAGTCTGGACCCCAGACTATAGTGGGCAACAGGGAGACAAGCCCTGCACTACTGTTGTTTTTGTGCTTATGATCCACAATACTAAAATATGCAAAAGACGGATTTCCAATAATAAGTACTTATAAACCACTGTGGAAAAGATTTAAATGCTGCCTGACTATCACTGTAAAGCAGTTGAGAACGTGTGGGTGAATGTCCTTGAGGACCATGGCAATGATGCAGCTGAGGAAAGCTGAACAGATGTGTGAGCTCCTTAGAAAGTAAGATACAGTATACACAGTGTCGAAGCAAAAGAGGCCTGAGTAGAACCAGCCTATACCAAATTAAAAAAATGCTCAGAGCCCAACAGTGTGTCGCAGCAAGGACAAGTGTGTTGCATAGCACCCGGCAGGATCCAGGGGAACAAGATCTAGCCAGAGAGCCTTTGCTCTCCCATTGGGCATACTCCCTAAGACGTCTTCAGGGACAGGGTTCCATTAGACGGCGGCACCACATTACACCAAGTATCTAGAAGAGAGTCCGCAGATCACATTACAGGCAGGCACTGCTTCTACCTCACAGCAAGGTTAAATACGGCCTCTGTGACAATACTGAGGATCAGCCAGTTTGGAAAGCTTCAAAAACTAGCCCTTCTGGCTCTAGAGCAACTGTAGAAACGTGATAGAAGAATAAAGGATTTTTATAAAATCATTAAATTGATTTGGTGCTCTCTGAGAAGAGATATCCATTCTCTTATCACACTAGCCAAAAAAAAAATGGAGTATGCTGGAAGAAGGAGGGATTATATTAGGCTGCTTTACAACCGAAATGTGGCTTCAGAAATTCTTTAAAGGAGAGAACGCCTTATGCTGGCTCTGATTAAATCTAATTTCAACTTGAAATTTAAAAAGTTTATACAAAGATTTCCAAGGTTTGCAGCTTCCCAGTTCTCAGCTAACTAGTGAATAATTTCAGAATTCACCTGCAGCTCCACCTGCTGGTAAACCAATCTGTCATATGTCACAGTCATTCCTGTTCAGAGGGACCTCACTAAGTGAAAAAAACATAATTTGCTAGTGTTAACCAGGGGGTCTGGGAAGTTGAAATGCCTCCAGGTCTGTTAATCCTTATAGCTATGTTATATTAGATTTGCCGTTAACCCTTATATACTTTGACTCTTTCAGACTGACTGACATGCATGACAAGTACAAACCAACACCATTATCCACATATAAAAAGGAAGCCTGCAAAGGCACTGCAAATTTAAAATCTTTGTAGAACACAGACATTTAAAGACATAGGAAATTAAGGTTCATTAAATAAAAAGTATGGGCTTTAAAGAAAAAAAAAAAATTATGCTCATCTAATAGGAAGCAGTATTGAACCGATGCTGCATCTGTCCCCCACCGGGCTCTGCATGAACAAGTGAGCGATCAAACACCGCTGATCACTCAGTTTTCACCACTGCTCTAAGAGAGTGGTGATGGTCAGTCACTGCCTCTCTGCCCCTCCAGCGCTTACTGGAACACTGGGCTGTGCAGGGCGGGAAAAGCTCGCTCAGGTGTTGGTCTAGGCTTCTGGGTGGATCCTGACCATATGGTCGAGATTTTTTCAGAGCCGGTCAGCCGACAGCAGGCTTTAGCCCACAGTTGGCTGAAAGTGGGCACAAGAGTGCAGAACAAACTGCACTCATGTGATCAATAGAGATATAGCTGAAATAGCTTTGGCTATACTTCTCCTTTAAGGCCTCACCCTGCAGATGTGGTGTGATTCTTTACCACACTGGTACTCATCTGACAAGAGCTACTGCCTGCACTTACTGGTGGAGTAAGAAAGAGCAAGGGTATTACAGATTTTTATTTATTGCAAAGAGTAAAAAAAATCACTTAAAAGTTTCCCTGGCATTCTATTCTAATGTACAAATTAAATTTCAACAGCAAGAGGAACAGTGAGCTTCATGTGTTAAAGATAGAGGAAAATAAAAAAGTGTGTTGTTCAAAGAAAATGGAAGTATGTGTGCAATTAATAGACTAAGAAGACTGGATGCTATGGACAATACAAAATTTTATTCTTTCATGAAGTCTATGGCCTTCACCACTTGCCCTCCTGAGGATTTACCCCCCTTCCTGACCAGGCCATTTTTTACGTTACATTAACTGACAATTGTGAGGTCATGCAAAGCTGCACCCAAATTAAATTTATGTCCTTTCTTCCCCATAAATTGAGCTTTCTTTCGGTAGTAATTTATCATCTGTGCAGTTTTTATTTTTTTGTGCTATAAAAAAAAGAAAAAAAAGACTGACAATTTTGAGAGAGACAAAAAAGTCTATATTTTTTACTTTTTTGCTATTAAACATGTCCAGTAAACAAATTTAAAAAATCTAATTTCGGCATAAAGTTAGGCCAAAATGTATTCTGCTAAAAAAAACCTCTCCAATATGTGTAAATTAATTGGTTCACATGAAAGTTATAGCATTTACAAATAGCGACACACACACTCTAATTTTTATTTTTTACTAGTAATGGCGGCATTCAGCGACTTATTGTGGGACTGCAGCGGGCATTCTGACACTGACATCCCCAGGAACACCAATGCAGTGATCAGTGCTAATAAAAAAAATACTGACACTGTACTAATGGCACTGGGCAGGATGGGTTAACATAAGGGGCGATGAAAGGGTTAACTGTGTGCTGGGTGTGTTTTACTATGGGGCCAGGTGTTTGTGCTTCACTGTAAGCACACTGCTTTGTATGGCTGTGCACAGCCATGCAAAGCAGTGTGCAATAGCTGACAGGGTGGAGAACTGTTTTGTTCACAAACAGTTCTCCTCCCCATTGGAGATCCTCAGCAATCACCGGGCGTCAGCGAGTAATCACCATCTGGACCCGGTGATTGACAGTCGCGGCTGCGAATGGTGGCACGGGTAGGGGGCATGTGATTTTGTGCACCCATGCCGCCCTGTAACAGCATTTCTGCTATAGGCCGGACGGGAAACGGTTAAAGGATAGTTTCACTTTTCTGAACACGTTACATCCATATTTAGGGTGTAGCATGGTCAGCATTAGACCCCCCCCATGTGGTAGTGAGCAGGGGACCTTCTTCTCATACTCGCAGCCACAATTCCCTCTGAATCAATGGACCTTTGTGGCTGTTGGCTTGCAGTTCTCAATGAACTACCACGGCACTGTTGAGCGCTACGGTAGTTCATTGATTCTTCCTGTCAGAGTAAAACTGCTTGCCCGTTTGACGAGCAGACAGCTCACACTGACGGTCTGCAGGAGACCTGATCTACTGATCACTGGTGCAATGCTTTCCAGGCGCCTAAAACAAAAATTAGTAAATGCATATTTTTTTGCCTGCAAAATAATGTGCATTTATTATATTTTATTAAAAGGTGAACTTATCCTTTAAAGTGTGTGTTTCCCATGAATCTGAAAGCATTATACTGGTGTGGTATACAACATAAAACTGTTCTGCATAGCTTGTTGATTATTCCATTCATTTTATTCTCCATCACAAAAATAAAACATAAGGAAAAGTATACAAACAGCAGCTATGCTATTTAATTACAGAAGTCTCTTAATTTCTCATTAGGAGAGCTCTGTTGGGGAAGGAGTTAAGCAGATTTCTGTCCTTTTACTTAACACCAAAATGTGTAGGGTTTAGGCTGCTCATTGAAACTTGGATGTGCAGTGGATGGTTTTCGCAATGTGAAATAAAAGTGGTGGGAGTGTGAGGTCAGAGGGGTACCAAAAACAAGAAAATCTGTAATCATTCACAAGTGGTAAGCCACTGGGCTTACAACCAGCTTTGGAAATGTTTTTTGAAAAGCATAATAAGCTTAGTTGAGGCCAAGCAAAGCTAAGGCCTCTAACACTCAGACAGACGCCATCACAAAGAAATCATAACACCATATAATACAGACTCAAGGACCCGAATAGAAAGCCTCGCCTTGTATGAGCTCGGCTACATTTCAACAGATGACATAGACCCTTGTTTACCAAGGAATTTCCTAGAGATTCAACAGTACAGAAAAACTAGAGCTGGACAAGGATTAACTCTAGCTGAAATACAGACTATATTATCTGCATTAAAGATAGTACTTTGTGCCAAAAGTTACAATGTAAATTAGTGGCAATGAAAAATCGAAAGTATGTATCAAAATTTGGAAAACAAATTTAAATATGTACACAAATGTGCAATTTAATAAGAGCAAATCAGCCTACCGTAAAGTTTTACCCTTAACAAATATACAACAGAAAACCTCCCTAAAGTAATACAGAACATTTATTTGCTAACAATCTCTACTAATTCCCCATTAAAGAGGACCCTGTAAAAAAAAAAAAAAAAAATAAATAAAAAACTCTCCTGTTGCCCAAAAAACCTAAAGCCATTTCGCTGCTCTCAGTGAGTTTTTTTCCCTTCACATTCATGTCCTCATTGTGTCTTGTAGTGATGTGAGGGCAGGTGGGAGGAAACACTGAGCTCTACGAGGAACCAGAGGAATCCCTGAAGTGTCAGGTTCTGCAGAATGCTGGTGCTAGGGCTGTTCTTCAATGGTGAGGCACTTGGCGAGACAAGCAGCAACAGACAATAGTTTATTTGTCCAGGAAGCCCATTTTCTAGCAACTTCACTTTGAGGACGTTGTTTAGATAACCATCAGTGGCCTAGTGAAAATTTATAAATATGCATTCACCAACTTGCATATGCACGGTTCATCTTTAAAAAAAATGTATATGTGATATACACACACACACTATATTGCTTAACGTATTGGTGCATCTCTCCAAATCATTAGATTTAGGTGTTCCAATCAACTCCATAGCCACAAGTATATAAAATCAAGCATCTAGGCATGCAGACTGCTTCTACAGACATTTGTGAAAGAATGGGTCGCTCTCAGGAGCTCAATGCATTCAAGCGTGGTACCGTGATAGGTTGCCACCTGTGCAATAAGTCCATCCGTGAAATTTCTTTGCTGCTAAATATTCCACGGTCAACTGTTAGTGGTATTATAACAAAGTGGAAGCAACTGGGAAAAGCAGCAACTCAGCCACAAAGTGGTAGGCCACATAATTTGACAGAGCAGAGTCAGTGCATGCTGAAGTGCATAGTGTGCAGAAGTCGCCAACTGTCTGCAAAGACAATAGCTAAAGAGCTTCATGGATCGGGTTTTCATGGGCGAGCAGCTGTATCCAAGACTTACATCACCAAGTGCAATGCAAAGCATTGGATGCAGTGGTGTACAGAATGCCACTACTGGACTCTAGAGCAGTGGAGATGTGTTCTCTGGAGTGATGAATCACACTTCTCTGTCTGGCAATCCGCTGGACATGTCTGGGTTTGGCGGTTGCCAGGAGAAGGGTACTTGTCTAGAGGAGAGAAAAACAAGCGCCATCTGGGTGTAGTAGTTTAAAAACCAGTTTAATGAATAAAAACAATATCAATCCCAAAAGTAGGGTTATCTTAAGGCATGGGTAACAAGAGGATGGCCATCAATAAAGGTCCCGGACTGCAATGGTGGTGGCTGTGAGCCAGCTTGCAGGCTGTTCTGGAGGCTCCCCAAGGCTTCCTGGTTGGCGTGGAATGTCAGAAAGGGTATTTGCCTCACTGCATTGTGCCAAGTGTAAAGTTTGGTGGAGGGGGGATTATGGTGTAGGGCTGTGTTTCAGGAGTTGGGCTTGTCCCCATGTTCCAGAGAAGGGAACGCTTAAGGCGTCAGCATACCAAGACATTTTGGACAATTTCACACTCCCAACTTTGTGGGAACAGTTTGGGGATGGCCCCTTCCTGTTCCAACATGACTGCGCACCAGTGCACAAAGCAAGGTCCATAAAGACATGGATGAGCTATTTTGGTTTGGAGGAACTTGACTGGCCTGCACAGAGTCCTGACCTCAACCTGATAGAACACTTTTGGGATGAATTAGAGAGGAGACTGTGAGCCAGGCCATCTCATCCAATATCTGTGCCTGACCTCTCAAATGCGCTTCTGGAAGAATGGTCAAACATTCCCATAGACACACTCCTAAACCTTGTGGACAGCCTTCCCAGAGGAATTGAAGCTGTTATAGCTGCAAAGGGTGGGCCAACTTAATATTTAACCCTACGGACTAAGACTGGGATGCCATTAAAGTTTATGTGTGTGTAAAGGTAGGCGTCCCAATACTTTTGACAATAGTGTGTGTGTGTGTGTGTGTGTGTGTGTGTGTGTGTGTGTGTATATATATATATACATACATACACACGCTTCCATATTTGTATATAGACAAAACTGCATTCATTCAGCCATCGCATCACAATTTTGAAGGCACACCTGTGTATGGGTTGAACTGGTGGCCACATTCAGAATGCCTGCAAGCATCTAGGGCTACATTTGGATAGAGTATTATGGAAGGATTAGAACTCTGTCATGTTTTATTGATGTCAATGTCCCCAATGGATAGACTCACCACTTTTTGCAGTGGTGTTCATCATCACCAAGAAAGAAAGGCAATGCAACATGTTAAAGTTGTCCCCAAAACAACCAAGAGAGTGGGTTCCCCTCACTTTAGGAAATTTCCTCTAGCATTCTGTTAGGTCTCCGGGACAGAAAGTAAAGGGAAATTTCTCTAATGGCATACAGTCAGCAAGAAAAATAAACTGGCAGGGGTTTTAACCCTTTCCAAAACAAAAATATTTTTGACTATACATACACTTTAATATTGTATCCTTTTCAAAGGAGCCCCCAAGTGATGACATCACCATTTAACACCAGAGGGAAAAGCTACTTTGGTATGCCTTAGAAGTGTAACAGTTGTTTTCCGTAATATAATATAATACAATATATAATTAGTTCAGAAAATCCAACCACATTAAAGCATCTTGCAACCCCAGGAATGAGCGCCATCAATGATGGACTGAAACTTTATAAAACTGATCCTAGCCTCTGACAATAGCATTTACATAGGGAAGTGTTGAACATGTTGAACACAGTGGCAGACAAAAGATCTGGATTAAAGGAAAGATGTAAAAGCATACAATTATACTTGTACTTCACCCTATCTAGAGAACCAACAACTTGACCAGTCAGGAGACAAAGCAAAACATCACATTGGAGACTTACTTCTGATCTTAATGTTGCTTTCATACAGGCCTGGCAGATTGGCCCACTGCGAGAAAAGTTTAAGGGAACACGACGAGTCCGGTTCTGGCAGGTCTGCTCTTCACATACTAGCCAACCCTGAAAATAATCCAAATGAAAAATATTACACTGCTGTTCAGTATCCATTAGGATTCAGATTTTAATATTTTGTACAACATTTAACGCTAAACATTACTGGCAAAAGCAGTTAACATTTTTCATGCACCTACAGGAAATTTCATATTATATGAAAAAGGTCTATTTATAAAGGTTTTTACATGATTCCTGCAGCTTTCTCCCAAGACTCACACATATTTTAATTGGATTCGTGTGAAAAAATGTGGCAATACCTAGAGAAAGCTGTGTGAAAATATTTATAACTAGACCCCATAGTGACAGGAATAAAACAACTAGCATACATTTTCACAGAAAAACACCTGAAGCTAGGGCCCTTTCACACTGATCAGTTTTTCTTCCGTTTTTGCCTTCTCAAAAGCGGAAAAAATGTATGACCATTAAATCCTATGGAGCTTTTCACACCAGTCAGTTGCGTTTTTAAAAAATCCTACATGCTGCATATTTGGTATGGTAAAAAAAAAGCACCAAAAACACACCTCCCCATTGAAATAAATGAAAAGTGCATCTAAATGGAAAGTGAGTGCAAAGTGCTGCAAAAATGAATGAAAAACGTTCCTGCGGTTGTGTTTTTGGAGTCACATGCCCTTTTTTCACAGATGCAAAACACACCGGAAATGCAGTGTGAAAGCAGCCTTAGTTGTACTAAGTTAGTGCAGTGCTTTCCAATACCATAAAGGCTGTTCCTTTAGATCATATTCATTATCAAATTAGGCTTCAGAGCCATTTCTATATTTTAGTTGAGGACCTATATATTGAGCAATAACTATTACTTACAGAGATGTGAGATATATTTTTGGTACTTGTCTGTTAATTCACCGGATTTATTTTATATATATATATATATATATATATATATATATATATATATATATATATATATATATATATATACATCCGGTGAATTAACAGACAAGTACCATACTTTTTAGGAGAACTATGCCCTTTTTCCAGTTTGGCAAGATAAAAATAGCTTTTAGCTATTTCTCATGTTTATCATAATGCTTAAACTAAGGTTCTGAAACAAAGTGAAGCAAAGAGATTTACAAACTAATGCATGACATTTTAAAATTCATTTTTTTTTTTTAACATCAGTATTAAACCCTGAAAAAGAAAATGTAATATACTGCAGTTTACCAAACCATAAATGTGGTGGCTGCATTAGTTTCTTTTTTTTTAGTGTTTTGATACAGCCAGTTATACACTTCCTGTTTTAGGGGGGTCTCCACTTCGAGTAACAGATGTCTTTGGATAGCAACACTTCAACTGAGGAGAGGGTAGTGTTAGATGCAATAGCAGATTTAGATGTATTTTTCAGAAGTGACTAATAAATAGAAGCCAAGGTTCTAAGCTAACATTTTTTAGCCAGTTACCACAAGAGTTTTTTTTCTCCTTTTGGCATAAATATTTTACATAAAAGAAAAAAGCTGACCATTATAAGCATCCCTGTCAGGTTTAAGTGGTTTGTTAACCCTCAAGCTGCCATATTTGTGGGGTAAACCTGGTCTGTTAAAGGGGGGGGGGGTGGGGGGAGAAACACTGGCTGGATCACCAGGTGAAAATAAAGGCAAACAAAGCCTAAAAAGGAAAACTAATAGAGTCACCACGTCTGGTTGGAGCTGCAACACAAAATACGTTTGTTTTTGGGTTTAATACCACTTTAATGCATCCTTGAGCTACAGAAAAAAAAGATTTTTCCACAAACAGTATTAAAGAAAATGGTGGAAATAAATAAAGTAGGGCAGGAAAAGGACAGAGAAAATTGGTTAATCAAGAATTAAATAGAAAAGACAAAAAAAGTGATTATGTTTGTTATAACCTGTTCCTGGGAATCTCAGCTAACTACAATGTTCTAATTTATGTTTACTTTTGTTTACCACTACTGAGCAGAAACACCTGTTTAGACCTAGCAGCACTGAAATTGTGATTGCTACTAGATACTGTGGGTTTAGAAAATAATCACCCCCTTAATAATAACCACCTTTTGCTTTAACTACACCCTTTAGTCTGTTAAGATATATCTCTACTAATTTTGCAATAGACTTTGCAATGTTTGCCCACTTTTCTTTGCAGAGCTGCTCAAGTTCAGTGTAATTTGATGGTGACCATTTGTGGACTGAAATGCTACAGGAAAGCCCTTTTTGCATGCTGAGCTGATCACAGTTGAAATGGCTTTGTGTGTCATTTATTAGGTGATTTGCTACATTCCAACAGTAAAGCATGGAGGTGGTAATATCCTGCTATGGGAGTGTTTCTCTGCAGCAGGGACTGGAGCACTTGTCAGGATAGAAGGAAAAATGGATGGGGCACAATACCATTACATTCCTGAGCAAAATCTGCTGCCCTCTGCCAGAAAGTTGTCAATGGGAAGGTGGTTTACCTTCTAACATGACAATGTTGGCAACACATGGCAACCCAAAGCACACAGCAAAAATGACCACACAGTGATTGAAGGGGAATGGCCTTGCATGGCCTAGTCAAAGCCCAGACTTAAAGAAGAACTCTGGGATAGGCAAAAAAAAAAAAACCATAAAACAAAAAAACTATTAGTACTCCCCCCCTGCACAAAACCATTAATAACATTTTTGAAAATCTTTACAATTTAGGAGAAAGGTTTAATTTAATTTTCATGACCTCATCTCTGTAATTCAAAAGATAACAGCATCCACTCTGCCAAGGAGGAGGTGTAAACAGTAGGGATTACATTATATCCTCTCCTCTCTCTGTAGTAAAAGGAAACTACCGTTCCCATCAACCACAGGGAATTGTAGTGAATGTGGGCGGGTACATGTTGAAGGAGCCTGAGAATCTTTGCCCTCCTACCACTGCAAGTGAGGCTGATTTACATCACTGCTTTCTGGAGAAAGAACTACAGAAGGGAGGTGCCAAGACCAGTGGCTGGGGGAATAGGAGGCATAGCAGCCACTGGTCTTACAAAAAGGAAACCAAAGAGTTAACGGTTTTATTTGAAAATGAATAGGCAATTTGAGAGAAATTACTGAGTGAACCAGAAGATGGATGACATACTCAGTGAAGGTAGGAAATCAGCCTGAGCTTGTTCTTGATCCAGAGATGTGCATAAGAGCAGCAGTTCTCTCCCTCCTCATTGGATTAGAGACAGTAGCGGGAGCCATTGGCTCCTGTTTCTGTAAATCAGAGCTAGTGAGGAGGGAGCTTAGCTGTGTTGGTTTTATGGAGCGAGCCTACACTAGTGCCCCTAAAGGAAGCAGCTTGCTTTGGTGGACATTCGGCAGGGGCGAGGGGCCTGGAGCACTGGCAAGTGGCCCCAAGAGAGGAGGATTCGGGATGCTTTGTGCAAAACAACTCCACAAAGGCAAGTATGACATGCTTGTTATTTTTAAACATTAAAATTCAAACCTTTACAATCATTTTAACTGTCTTGGCCTGAGCCAGTGATGGCAGTTATTAAAGAGCAGGGAATAGAAAGACAGAGTACGGCTTATACATTTTTAAAATTGCTTGGTAAACCCAGAATCTATTAACATAATAAATATAATTTGTTCCCTCTGCTGTACTGCTCAGGCATCAGAAGCAGAGAAAATACTTGGTACTTCTGGGTCAAGAAACAGCCTTCAGCCCTGTATAAGCTCCGACTGAGGGTTTAACTTCCTTGCTCTAGGCAGCTGGATGGAGAAAAATAGAAAAAAGGAGAGTGAGTATGTGCTGCTGGGGAAGGAGCAATTTAACCACTTCTGTCCGGACACTTTTACCCCCTTCCTGTCCAGGGCAATTTTCAGCTTTCAGTGCTATCACACTTTGAATGACAATTGCGCGGTCATGCAATACTGTACCCATATGAATTTTTTACCATTTTTTGAGACAGATAAAGCTTTATTTTGGTGGTATTTATTCACCGCTGGGACTTTTATTTTTTTTTTTGCTATGTAAATGAAAAAGTCCAAAAATTTTGAAAAAAAAGTGTTTTTTTTAAATAAAATTCTGCAAATAAATAATATTTCATCATAAATCTTGGCCAAAATTTATTGCGTTATTTTTTTAGTAAAAAAAAAAAAAAATCCAAATTAGTTTATAACCAAAAATTATAATTTTTTTTTACATTTTTATATTATTTTTTATTTATTTTCTTTTTTTTTTTTTTACATACTGTCACCCTAGCAGTACAGTGTCACCATGGTGACACTGTACTACTTGTGGGGGGTGATGAAGATTTTTTTTTTTTTACACTGATTGCTTTTACACCCATATAGGATGTAAAAACAATCATTTCTCTTTCTCTCTGTGCATTCTTGCAGTCATTGAGAAGTACTGAGTGAGCTGTGATTGGTCACAGCTTGTCACATGGTACAAGGCTGTTGTGAATAGCCTTGTACCATGTGACCTCTGTGATCATTCACAGATTTCACACGTAGTAAGCAATGATGTCACAAGCGACATCTTGCATGTGATCACTGATTCGCCAATCAGTGATCACATGATTGGGACCTCGTACAGAGGTCTGTCCGACGATCGGTGTTTCACTGTGTCCGGAGGACACAGCAGACACCGGATCGCGGTGGTGCGCGCTCCCAGGGAGCGCGCACAGCTAGAAAAGGCAGGTGCCGTTTATGAACGGCAACCCACCCCTGGAGTGCCACCGTCCAGCCATTTATAAACAGCAGGCGGACGGCAAGAGGTTAAGCAAACTCATTGCACAGGTTTGCTTAAAATTACAACTCAATCTCAATATGGAATTGTTAATTACATTATCAGTATGACTTATTTTAATGTCATACCAGACTTATCAAGAGAAAAACAACAATCACTACAGCTTTACCATTTAATACAGGGGTGCTAAACCTTTTGAAGAGCAAGGGCCACTTAAGTGATTTGCTATCTGGTCGTAAGCCACAATGAAAAGAAATGGTTCAAAATGCTGGCAGGAAGGAGAGGAGGAGAAGCCGGATTTCAGCCATTGCAGGAAGAAATTGGAGGGGCTGAGTTCATGTCTATGCCACCCCTCCTGACCAAGTGTAAAACAAATGGTGACGGAGAGCCCACACTGCACCCCTGCAGCATGAGGCGGGGTCGCCATTGCGTCTCTTAAAGCTATAGGTTGGGGTGTGTGGTAAAAACACATCTCAATTATGGTGTTTTACTGCCCCCCAAACAGCAAATGTAAAGGAGTCCTTACTGTCCAGAGCCTGCTATACAGGCTGCTTTCACACTGATGCGTTGCAGTTTACCTACACCGCTTTCCTGCAGGTTAGTTGCTCTTTGTTATAGACTTCTATTATAACTTGAGTGTCTTGTGCACTTTCTGAAAGCACACCAAAACTCCTACATTCACTTTGAGGTGAAGGGTCAGAGGGCTCTGGAGGGCCACAGGTTAAACACCCCTGGTTTAATACAAAAAATGCAATAGAAAAATTAGAACTTAAAAATGTTTGAGACTATACAAACACCACTTAGTAACAAGGTAGTCAGGTGTGCAGAAATCAAAGGCACCTAATTCTCAAAAAAGAGATACAACAAATATTAACAAAGAAAGGGGATTTTAAAAGGTGCCAACATATAATAGAACAGCATAATATAAAAAAAAAATCACTTAAATACAATTGAAGTCAAGATGACTAAAACATTGTTGCAGCAGCTTCTACTCAATATGTTTCACCAAAATCTGGCTTCTGCAGGAGTTTTACAAGCACTGCACACAGTGTCACTAGATAAAATATATATAAGCAAATGCATTACAGCGGGGGTCTGTAGGTCAGCAACCTGTTGATCGCGTTCGATCAATAGATTGCAGTCAGGAGACTGGTAGATCACGGTCTGGGCTTGCTGACCTGCCATCCTAGAGCATCAAACGGAGTGCAATGCAACGAGACTACTTGTAAAGTTGGAGCTGTAATAGGGAGCAAAAGCCGAATAAGTCGATGCCTCCTCTATAGTGCTGGCTCCTGTCCCATGCAGAGTGATACCAACTGCACTTGACCTCTTATCCTGGCTAGCAGTCTCCAGCATGGTGCCAGCAGCAGGAAAGAAGAGATCTTCAGGTCAGTGTGAAGCAATACAATGGGCATAATAGTATAAGACTGCTTTCACACTGATGAGCTGCGATTTACCCACAGTGTTGTGCAGTGTACCTGCAGCTTTTCTGTGGGTTTGCTGTGCTTGGCCATAGACTTCAATAAATTCAGGAGTTTTGGTGCACTTTCAGAAAGTGCACCAGACCTGCAGAATATAATAGAAGTCGTCTTCGGCAAAGCGCAACTAACCCAGGAAAGTCACAGATGCACTGTGCTGCACCCGCAGTGCCAGTACACCGCAACACAGTGTGAAAGCAGCCTTATAGGAGACTCAACAGTAAGGCTTCATTTACATTTGCAGTTTTGGGGGTTGTAACACCCTAAAGTTAAGATGTGTTATCACTCCTGCCCCAACCTCACCCCCTTTAGCTGAAGTGGTCAGGGATGTACACATGTCGCAGCTGTAGCTGGAGACTCCCTGTCCTGGTTGGTGGGTGTAGCACCTGCCAAGCATGACCCGTTTAAGTGAATGAGGCTACACTGCAAGTGCCCTGTAATCTTGTGCAGTATGACAAATAAGGTGTTAAAGCAGACAGCGTTGTGTTGCTTTCTAACAACATGCTTTAACCCCCTGGAGCCAGCACAAGCATGCAGTTGCGGGGCAGCCCCATTAACTTGAATGGGTCGCAATTGACAGGCGGTAGCACCCACCAAAAGCAACAGGGGGTTCAATTCCGGCTGCGGCATATGTGCACCTTTGGCAGCAGCCTCAGAAGCAAAAGGGGGATGGGATTGGGGGTGGTAAAACTGATTAAACCACAGGGTTTTACCACCCCCAACTTTGTGTGAACGAGCCCTAAGGGCGCCACTGCTGAATGCAACTAAGGGTTCATTCACAAGTGCAGCAGGCACTGCTGCTCCTCTGAAAAGTGATCCAAGTGTGTTTGACAGATGGCACACATTGCCTCCTTATGACCCGATTTAAACCCATGACTGCCGTGCACTGCATGCGACTGTGACACGATGGTATGGCAATTAAAGGTTTAAATCAGGTGTGAGGAGGCGACACTGCCCGGTGATCTTTGACTTCTCCCATGTTGTTCAGGTAGATCTTCACCTCTTTAAAGTTGCCTAACCCTACATTACACCACATATCAAATATCACATTCATCAGTAAATGAACATTAACAAGCATTTAATAAAACACAATACAACAGTGAATACCTTAAAGGGCGTCATACCTAGGGGTGCAAAGAAATCACACTGCAGGCCTTAACATATTTAAAAGGATTGAAAAGTAAAACAGGGGACAATCTAGGGCCAAAAAGGGAGACATGCTATCCCAAATTACTTTCTGCGAACATAAGTAATATTCTAATTACAGCTCCTTTAATAACGCATTTGTGTGTAGCAACAAACATGGACCAAACCAGGCCCCTCATTACTGAATGAACATTATCTTTTGGGGATGGAAACGGTAGTGATCCCCCACAAATCATCAGACACTGGTTCAACCAATTGATATATGCAAAAACAGATTTTCCTTAAAAAGAGTGTTCCCCCTATATCTACCCCAAACCACTAAAGGGACAAATTATGCAGTCACTAAATGAATGGAAAAAGAAAAAAGGGGAATTACTATTTAACCACTTGCCTACCGGGCACTTACACCCCCTTATTTACCAGGCCAATTTTCAGCTTTCAGCGCTGTCGCACTTTGATTGACAATTGCGCGGTCATGCAAGATTGTACCCATATGAAATTTTTACCATTTTTTTCTCACAAATAGAGCTTTCTTTTGGTGGTATTTAATCGCTGCTGAGCACTTTATTTTTTGTGCTATAAGCAAAAAAAGTGCAAAAAAGATTTGAAAAAAAAAGTTTCTTTGTTTCCATTATAAAATTTTTCAAACAGGTAATTTTTCTCCTTCACTGATGTGCGTTGATGAGGCAGCACTGATGGGCACTGATAGGCAGCACTAATGAGGTGTCACGGATAGGTGGCACTGATAGGCGACACTGATAATGGGTACTGATAGACAGCACTGATAGGTGGCACTGACTGACATCACTGCTGGGCACTGACTGGCACAACCGCTGGGCACTGACTGGCAGCACTGCTGGGCACTGACTGGCAGCACTGCTGGGCTGCCTATGTGCACTGGTGGGTGGCACTGGTGGGCCCTGGTGGGTGGCACTACTGGGCACAGGTGGTGACACTGCTGGGTGGCACAGGTGGTGACACTGCTGGGTGGCACAGGTGGGCACAGGTGGTGTGACACTGCTGGGCACAGGTGGGCGCACTGCTGGGCACAGGTGGGCGGAACCTGTGTGTGGCACTGCTGGGCACCGATCATCAGGGCACTGATGATCAGTAACCCTGATGATCGGTGCCGATCCCCGCTCTGACAACTGCCGGTTTTCGGCAGTACTTTCCTCACGATCTGACAGTGTGAGGAAAGTGCAGCAGAGAACTGGCATTTGCATTTCCCTGTGATCAGCGTGTCATTGGACATGGCTGATCACGTGGTAAAGGCCGCTGTGATTGGCCTTTTACCACATCACGTGATCAGCTGTGTCCATAGGACACAGCGATCATGGAGATCGCCGGGTGCACGTCCCCCGGGGTGCGCAGGAGAGCGCGTTCTGGGAGGACGTCATATGACGTCCACCCAGAACTGGCCGGCCACAGTGCAGCCGTCATTTGGCTATCTGTGGTCGGCAAGTAGTCAATGGGAATATAGCATAAAACAAATATTCCACCTCCCCAACAGTCGTCATCCATTTACAGTATCTTACCAACCAAGAGAATAACTAGGCCGCCTGTGGCTTCAAATTGCCACAAAGGAGATATGCCGCAATCACAACAAATGCAGCGGACAGTGCCCTTACATATCCCCCTTACCTCGCCACTGTCTGACATCACCGGCGAGGTGCGGACATTTGTCTATATCCCCACCTCTCTCATGTTGGGGTATATGTTCTATGGCAAAAAAATGCATTTTGGTTCAATCAAAAGCATGGTAAAGACCCATACACCGACTAATTAGTCTCCAGCATTTTAAAATGCTTAAAATATTGGCAAAACTAAGAGCATTTTTTTCAAAGAATCAGGGACCATATTTCTTTGGTTTCGAAAAAGAAACTTGAGGCTCCAATTAGTTGGCACATAGGTCTTTACCATGCTTTTGATTCAACCAAAATGCATTTTTTCGCATTAGAACATATACCCCAACATGAGAGAGGTGGGGATATAGGAAAGCTGCTATTACAGTGAGAAACTCGTTGGATTCATAACTTAGCAACTACGAGACCTCCAAAGCTAAATGATACTTTACCTTTCAAGCCTTTCTTAAAATAGATATGGTTTCGTCCTACTCTGGAGAGCTGTGCTAGAAGGCTAATTGATTGGTATATCAAGCTTATGTGTAACCACTTTTGATGTATGATATCAGCTTTGATTTACTGTTCATGATTTCCTTATGGGGTGTCATTTGTTCTTGTGAACTGCCAGAGGTGTTAATGGTGACATAATTCAATCACCTCTATGTTGAGTTGTGAATTATGCCTGGGAACGGTTTAATTTTTCTTATCTATGATTTCGGGTTGTGATGTACCTGAAATTAACTGAATTTTTGGTTTGGAAAATAGGACTTTGTGGCTGTATTGGGGTGACCATGGGGATTTTATTGGTGGCCATACGGATGCCTGGGGCATCCCTCTTGGGAGGGAATATTTGTGTCCTGTACCTGGGATTTGTGTCCTGTCCCTTTTGGCTCCCTCCTTTGGGCTCTTATCCTTGGATGATCCCGCTGGTCCTTCTGCTGATGTGGGATTGGCTGCGCCTTTGTGGCTTCAGTGGGCTGACTGGCTTGATCTTCCAAAAAGGGGCGGATGGCCCACCGCGCATGCAAGTGGCAACACATGCGCACTGGCGCCAGTGGTGTCTTCACCTGGCCGGTGAAGTCAGGCGCATAATCAGGTGGAGGGATATATAAGGGCCCTGTCAGCCGCATTTGTTGTGCTATATTCCCATTAAGAAGTAATTCCCCTTTTTTCTTGTAGCACTGCCCCTTGGGACAAGCTGGAATATATTATGGGTCCTGCGCTCAATAGATCCAACCCTAAGCAAACCCAATCCCTCTGGCACAACTGGTAATGAATAGCAAATACCCCGCCAAGAAATTTGCTGACACAGGGTTAAATGAAACGAGAACAATTTTATGGAGAATGAAATGCAGTGTAGAGGGGTGGGGTTCCCCTTTCAACTTCAAAAACTTACTTTTCTTCTTTTTGCAATGCAGTAAATTTGGTCTGCCACTAGAGGGCTTCACAGCCAAGAGTCTCCGGATGGCAGAGTTGCACTTTAAGCAGAATACAACTGATATCAAACAAATAAACTTACTTATACTCTATCAATGAAATGTATTACCCACACCGGTGTATGATTCTGCTTCTGAGGGGCGTTACCTCTAATAAGGCTACTAAGCCAGATTCCCCCACTTCAGTCCTTGTAACGGTGGAGCTCTAGTTGGTGCACGTTTAGTCCTTACAATTAAGTAAATAGCAGCTGAAGGCTTCTTTGGAGTTTCAGCTGGTGTGGGTTACATCCAATTTCACTAGGTTTCTGGGCTGAGAGGGTCCAACCTCAGTGTCTAAACGCAACACAAAGCACCCCAAGACCAGGGGCAGTCGCAGGATGCAATCTCCCAGTATGTGTCAGTCCCCGGGGCAGACAGTCTCAATTACACTGGTGGTGAGGGGCAAAGCAGGCAGGGGGATCTGTGGCTTGCACAGGGCCCCGGATGGGTGAGATCCCAGCAGTGGGGTGCGGATGTCCCAGTCTATATGCAAAGTGTAAATGGTGTGTCTTACTCTCTCCAGTGGGACAGCTCACCAGACTCTGAACACACAGCAGGGTCCCTCTATCCGCGCTGGGTGCTGTAGTGCCTCCTCCTCTGCTTGGACGGGCTCCACATGTCCCTGTCTTTTCTCCAGCCTCGTGTCTCTCTGTTCTCCCCTTCACTTATTGCTTCCTCCCTCTCCCAGCGTTCTTTGCTGTGTAGTGGATGAGTCATGAACTTGGCAGAATGCCCAGGTTTTACAAATAGGAGAGAGAGAGAAAGGACTGACTGCTGATCATGTGATTCCTTCTGAATCCTCTTGTACAAGGAGCCTGCTACATTCTTTTTCCATAAATTTCGTGATTGGGTAATTTTTCCCTTTAGTGCTTTAGGGTAGATGAAGAGGAATGCTCTTTTTAAGGAAAATACATTTTTGCATATATCAACTACTGTTTCCATCCCCAAAAGGTAATGTTCATTCAATAATGAGGAGCTGGGTTTGGTCCATTTTTGTTGCCACACATATGCGTTATTATAGGATCTACAATTAGAATATTACTTATGTTTGCAAGAAGTAATTTGAATAACCTGCCCCCCCCCCCCCCCATGGCCAGTGATATCACCCTAGATTGGCCCCCTGTATTGCTACTGAAGTCTTTTAAATATATTAAGGCCTGCAGTGTCATTCTTTCAACCCCTAGGTATGACACCCTTTAACCACTTGAGCTCCAGAGGATTTACCCCCCTTAATGACCAGGCCTCTTTTTGCTACTCGGCGCTGCACTAATTCAACTGACAATTGCGCGGTCATGCAATGCTGCACCCAAACAAAATTTACGTCCTTTTTTTCAAACAAACAGAGCTTTCTTTCGGTGTAATTTGATCACTTGTGCGCTTTTTATTTTTCACGCTATAAACAAAAAAAGGCCAAACATTTTGAAGAACAATATTTTTTACTTTCAGCTATAAAAATTATATAGAAAACTCAAAGTTGGTTATAAATTTAGGCCAAAATGTATTCTGCTACATGTTTTTGGTAAAAAAAAAAATCCCAATAAGTGTATATTGATTGCTTTGTGTGGAAGTTATAGCGTCTACAAACAATGGTATAAATACTGCAAGTTAAGCCATTTTTCTGCTATACAGAGCTGCGCTAGTTTAACGGACAATTGCGCGGTCATGCAATACGGTACATAAATTAAATTTACATCCTTTTTTTCCACCACAAATTGAGCTTTCTTTCGGTGGTATTTGATCACCTGTGCGGTTTTTATTTTTGCGCTATAAAAAAAAAGGCCGACAATTTTGAGGAAAAAAAAAACAATATTTTGGACTTTTTGCTATAAAACATGTCCAGTAAAAAAAAAAAATGCAAAAATCAAATTTAGTCATAAATTTCTGCCAAAATGCATTCTGCGACATGTCTTTGCTAAAAAAAAAACCCCAATAAGTGTAAATTAATTGGTTTACGTGAAAGTTATAGCGTTTACAAATGGCAGGAAAGATACTGGGATTTTTTAGGGTTTTTTTTTTATACTAATAATGGCGGCGACCAGCGAATTATGGTGGCGATCAGGGACTTATGGCAGCGACCAGCAACTTATGGCGGGACTGCGGCGGACATTCTGACATTGGGGGGTACTGACTTGGGGTCACTGACATCCCCAAAAACACTAATACAGTGATCAGTGCAAAAAAATTAAACACTGACACTGTACTAATGGCAATGGGGAGGAAGGGGTTAACTTTATTTTGCAGGGAAGGGTTATAGGAGTGAGGGGGGAGTGTTTTACTAGGGGGCGGGGGTGTGTACTGAACGGGACAAGGCTGATCGAGAAAGAGAAACTGTTCTTTCTCGATCAGCTCATCCTCGAGCTGACAGGGAAGTTACAGACAGCACAGCTACTGCAGCTGTGCTGTCTGTCACTGTTTGCCGCCGATCGCCGGGAAACAGCCACTAAGGAACGGCTGTGACCCGGCGACTCACATCTGCGGCGGTGATCGGCGGGACAGATAGGAGCGGCGGCGCGCCTCCTATTTGTTTACAAAACACACATTTTAAAACGTGGTTTTGCCTGCGAGTGCCGCCCTGCCGCCGTATATCTACACTGGCTGGGCAGCATGTGGTTAAAGTATTCATTATTGTATTGTGTTTTATAAAATGCTTGTTAATGTTCATTTACTGATGAATGTGATATTTGATATATGGTGTAATGCATTTGCTTATATATATATATATATAAATATATCTTATCTAATAGTGACACTGTGTGCAGAGCTCGTAAAACTCCTGAAGAAGCCAGATTTTGGTGAAACGTGCTGAGTAGAAGCTGCTGCAACAATGTTCAGTTGAATTGTATTAAATGACAATTGTAATAATACCATATGGAGTTTGTTTTATATATTGTCATTCAATAAAACCGTATTTTTTAATAATATTTTGTTGCCGGATTATATGTTGGCACCATTAAAAATCCCCTTTCTTTGGTAATATTTATTGTATACAAAGACCAGGCAACAACAGAGGGGGGGAAGATGTGGTCAGTAAAAAATGTACAGAAACCATGATGGAAATTCAGAAAAAAAAAAAAAGAAAGAAAACAAATCGGCAGCAATACATGGACAAAAATACTGCCACTGCACCTGTGTTCTAAAACAAACAGCAACTATATCTAAGGTAAACAGGCTGACACACTCATCATTTGTATGGAAGACATAATGTAATTTGTACCCA